GCATTACCCAGATGACTGAGAATCTCCACATGCACTTGGCAGAGGTCACGGATGAGCTCGTGCGAGCGACACTTACATGCACACAAGCCTTTTTCGTACCTCGGCTTGTCCGAGCTGTAGTCGCAGTACAGCCCCTTGTGGTGGTCGCAGGTGTCCGCCTCGTTGCACACCTCGCCCACCTGCCGGGCGCACGCCTTGCAGCAGCCGCAGCCGTCCGTCAGGAGGCTCACGCCCAGCGGGCAGGCGGGCGGCTCGGCGGGACACTCGCAAGGCCACCGGCAGTACCGCATCGGGGTGAAGGGCTCGGCGGCCGGCGACGTGACCGCTGGAGGCATGGCAGTGGAATTCTGGGAGGACGCCTGTCGGAGAAGGAGGATGGAAAAACATGTGAGACTCAAAACTGCAGGATATTCTTGAAATCCAGCGTCACGGGCAAACATCGTAATTAGGGTTTGTCTCAGAGGTCCGTCAGGACTGTCAAAAGCCCCTAAATGTACGTCGTTACGACATTCAGTGGCTGCTGGGTGGAACTATTTGACAAATATGATCTGTTTCCTATTTTTCACACAAATGGATGCTGATCGTCTGTCCCCACGTCGAATAATTTTTAAAAAATGATGAGCGTCCTGCCTCGGCATGTTTCATCTGCACCTCCTGTCGCCTGAGGTTTATGTGGATGATGGATGAGCTCCAGCCTTCGGTTACCAAAACTAAAGTGTCCCTCGATGTTTTTTTTGTTTTTTTTTTTGCCTGGAGAAACATGGTTTCCTCATTCAAAAAATTGGAAGAAATGTAGCATGTAGAAAAAGCTTTGTAGATCGTAGTAGCAATAACAACAAACCGCAATTCATTTTGAGGGCTAAAAAGTCCATTTGAAGGGCAGCATTCGTGACGCAGTGACCCTAGTGGCCACACGAGGTCGCCAAGTCGACTTAATGAAGTCTGCCAAAATCCACGTTTGAAGGCTACTTCTCATGTCGTTTGGATTATTTTTGCTACATTCTAAATCGGCTTCATTAACAACGCGAACGTATTTACAAGCGTTCGCTATTGAAATCAGGGCAGGGGGAGTAAAAAAATTGTCAACGCGGTACCTGTTGAATCCCAACTGCAGTGAGAATCCACAAGAGGAGCCAACTCATC